CCCCCCCCCCCCCAACGCGTGGTGCCGATGTATTTTCTTTGGGAATATTTTTCTTTCCTTGTTGCGGCTTCGCCTGGGACCACAGTCAGGCTAGGGGGCAGCGGCAGCGGTAGAAGGAGAAGCAAGGGAAACTAGCCCCATTCAGCTACAGCAGTAAGGCACACAATACATTTATATTTATATTTGTATCCATTGCCGCTTGCACGGCCCATGGCTGGGAAGAAGGACGCTGCCACGGAGGACGGGTGCGCCTTGCATCACGGCTCCCACGAAAGCGGCGGCAGCCCCGCGCAGCCGCACGGCTGGGAGCAGCGGGACAGGCCGAAGGCCACGGAGGCGAATCCAATACCAAGCGTCGAGGGCGAGGAGCAAGACGCGGCGCGGCTAAAGGATCCCGTGGAACTTGAAAAGGAACGAATGTATGAACTCCATCAGAAGTGGCTGCATGAGCGCAGCGAGGGACTGGCGACTGGTCGCAGCCAGACTCTCTCCTCCAGCCGCGTGAAACGCTCCCCGGACGCGCCCACCCAACTGAGTAATTCTGCCACAGACATCGCATCTAATTTGCGCTTCCGCAGCATCATCTCCTCCGCCCGCTTCTCCGCTGTGCGGCGCGGCAGCAGTTCCGTCTTCACCACATGCTCGCAGCCCTTGACGGTGGAGGAGCGAGCTGCCATGGTGCGTATGATGGAGCGCGAGGAACGCCGCCAGTCCGCTCTCCAGCGCGCGGCGGACGAGGACGACAAGCGTGGGAAACTGCTGATTGATCATGAGCTGCAAAAGGAGTCCGCCACGCTTCACCGCATCGTGGAGCTTGAGAGGAAGAAGATCAATGCAATCCGGGAGCATCAGGAGAAGCAGCTGACTCGCATGGAGCTGGCAAGAAGGCGGCGAGAGACGATGGAGCGCGAACGGCAAGCGAAGTTGGAGGAGATCCGACGACGCCGGGAAGCGCGTTTACTTCACAGCGACCCTTACGCGGGGTACGTTGCGCGGTCCAAGAGCCTGACCCCCATCACGCCCACAGCCCCCCAGGGAAAATGATGCACCCCACCCACCCAGTATAAAAATACGCATCTGCCCTCCCACCCATGCACACGTGTCCCCCGCTCCGCTATATGCCAGTGCCGAAGGAACTGACTCTCAGTGAGAGCTTTGCACGTTCAAGCCTTTAGGCATTCTTGGGGACCATATAACTCATGCTTATTTTGGCATATACGCTTACGTGTTGTGTGGTTTTTCTTTTAGTTTTGTTTTGGTTTCTTGCTTCGTCCCGTTTTCGGTTCGTCCTTTTTCTTTTTTATTGTCTCGACCTTATTGGGTAGATCCGGCACCACGTATACGTCGTTGCGGCTGTGCACTCATTTTTCCAAGTGGTTCACTTGCCCAAAAGAGTGTTTTTTTTTTGGCTACCCTCTACTTGTTTGTTTCTTCCTTACCCGCGCTGTCTGTATGTGTGTTTGTGTTGTCGCTTTTTTTTTCTTGCACCTACTGCGTGTCCGTGTTTCTCCTGTGCGTGCTTGTGTGTGCGGCGGTAGGGAGTGGGATCGCCCGTCGCGTTGTCTGCCAGGGCAACACGGGAGAAGAAGCAAAGGAAGCCGGGGAAGGAGAACAAAACAAAGAAAGAAGAAACGAGGCGCCCACCCATACATACACACACACATACGGAGAATGAGAGAGGCACATGCATCTATTTCCCTATCTTGGTTGTAAAGCGAAGCTGGAGGAATTGGGCGGGCGTCATTCCTTCAGCTCCGCCAATTCGTCCTCATATTTTACGTCTTCACCCACACTGCCGCCCCGCTTGCAGGCTTGCTGGGACGTGTGTTGGGCTCCCCCTGCTCCTTCCGCCGCCGCATCCTGCAAATTGCCTCTGCGTTTGTTTTTGTTTTTTTTGTTTTTTGTTTCTCCTTGCACTTTCCGCTGCAGACCGAAGCGGTAGGAAAACCAGCCACTCACCACGGGCCGGCGGCGCGTCTCACACGTACAGGCGGCAACCATATTTCTTCTGTGTGTGTGCGCGTGTAGCCGTGAAGAGAAGGAGCGTCTCTCTCTCTCTCTCTCTGGGCGGGTAGGTGGGTGTTAACCGACGATGCAACACGCCGCGAGGGACACCTCGCCGATGGTGGAACGCCCCGTGAATACGGCGGCGGCGGCGACTCAGGGAAAAGAGACCCGCAGCGTCAGTGGCAGCACGCTGCCCGTCTCCGACCTCGACCCGACGACGCGGCAGCTGCTGGAGGAGAACGAGGGCATGCTGTACCGCATCAGCACCTTGACGCGCGAGCTGCAGGCGGCGAAGGCGGAGATACAAGGGCTGAACGCCGCCGTCGCGGAGAAGAACAAGGAGGTGGAGGCGATGCGGGAGAAGCTCGAGGGCGCCAACATAACCGCCTGTGACGCGTCTGGGCGTGTCATTAACTACAAGGCCGAGTGCGAGCGACTGATCGCGACAAACAAGACTCTAACGGAGGATTACGAAAAAGTCCGCTTGGAGTTGGATCAGCGAACGGAGGACATCCGCCAGGCCACGGACAGGAAAAATGCCGACAGCGCGCGGAGGGCAACGGCGAGGTCTGAGGAGCAGTTCTGCGGCGAGGTGTTGAGTTTACTGTCCTCGGTGGACTTCATTGCGCCCAGCTTGCGGCGCTGCACCGTGGACGTCGCAGACCGGGAGCGCGCGCTGGATAATGTGCAGAAGGAGCTTGCCTTGCTGCAGCGAAGCGTTGACGCTGCAGAGCGTCTAAATCATGAGGAAAAAAACGTCGTCGAGGAAGTCCTGTCTGCTGCCCGCGGAAAGAAGAGCATCCAGTCAACTAGAGACGCCACGACTCTAATTCGGTGGATGGTCTCGGAGGGGCTTCTCTCTGGAATGGAAGCCACGGAGAAGAACCTGGAGGCCGTCAAGACCCTCCTGACGAGCCACACGGAGGGAGGCAAGAAAAATGCAGCGGGTGCAGGCGAGGAAAAGGCTACCCGTCCTTCAGCAACGAGTGGGGGTCGGCGTTTTTTTCAACGCCCGTCGAGGTAGACCACCCCATGCCTGTTGTTGGTGTTGTGGTTTTTTTATTGGTTCCCACTGTCGCAGGCACACAGATTCGAAGCATATCATGTTTTCCGTCATTGTGTTTGTGTTTCTGTGTAAGTGTGTGTATGTGTGTGTCGCCCTTGTTTGTTTTTGTTTGTTTTTGCGACTCATTTTGTTTTGTTTTGTCGCTTCCCCCACAGGCGGGCAGGCACACACGCAGAAATTAGCAGTTACGGGGGCATGCCTCTTCTAGGGGTGGATGCGGCCGTTGGGCACGCGCTTGCCGCCAGTGCGCGTGGCTAGCAAGGCCAAAACTCGTGCGTGGTGGCGACGGTGTTTGTGGTTGCCCTTCCCATCGTTGCAGGCGGGTCTGGCCTTTGTTGCCGCATTTTAGACTAGATCCCTTCCCCCCCTTCCCCCTCCCCTTTTGCCCGCCGCCGCCTCGTGTGGTTGCTTGGCGGAGGTGAAGTGGGACAGAGAGAAAAAGCTACTGGTGGTGAGGGCAGGGACAATATACATATACATATATATATACTCTCTCTCTGTGTGTGTGTGTGTGTGCCTGTGCGGGGGCGGTTTCTCTGCACTTGCCGTCCTGCCGGCCTCTGGTCCTGTGCGCCTTTTCCCTCGACGCCGGCGCTGCGGTACGGCTCCTCTCGCTTCTCTCCCCCGCCCTGCCCGCAGCACTATCCCCACGTTTGTAAGGAGCAAGAGAGCGAGCGCACGGTGAGCGAGGCGAGAAAAAAATGGACGAGAATGACATTGCGGACTTCACGATGGACGAGAACACGTTCTCGACCAACGAGCAGAACGAGCGCGGGCTGGCAACGCAGGACATCAACGCGCTTGACCTCGACAAGGTCAACGCGGAGACGTTCGAGGTGATGTCGCGGCAGGCCACGGTGAACATTGGCACCATTGGCCACGTCGCCCACGGCAAGTCCACCGTCGTGCGGGCGCTGAGCGGCGTCAAGACGCAGAAGTACCACCGGGAGGCGGTGATGAACATCACCATTCACCTCGGGTACGCCAACGCCAAGGTGTTCAAGTGCGACAAGTGCGAGCTTCCGGCCGCCTTCCACGCCTTCCCCTCGTCGCAGCCGGACAAAACGGACTGCCCGACATGCGGCTCGCCGCTGACGCTGAAGCGCCACTTTTCCTTTGTGGACTGCCCCGGCCACGACGTGCTGATGGCAACCATGCTCAACGGCGCCGCCATCATGGACGCCGCCCTCCTCCTCATTGCGGCAAACGAGCCGTTTCCGCAGCCGCAGACGCTGGAGCACCTGAAGGCAGTGGAGATCATGCGACTAGCCAACCTGGTTATCCTGCAGAACAAGATTGACCTCGTTGGCGAGGTTCACGCGCAGGACCAGTACCACAAGATTCGCAACTACATTGACAGCACCATTGGCTCTAACATCCCCATTATCCCAATCTCTGCCCAGCTTAAACGCAACATTGACTACTTGCTGGAGTACCTCTGCCACATTCCTCTCCCGACCCGCAAGCTCAACTGCCCTGCTCACATGACGGTGGTGCGCTCCTTCGACATCAACAAACCCGGCGAGGTAGACATTGAGAACCTGCGCGGTGGTGTGGCGGGGGGTACCGTGACGCGGGGCATCATTCGCGTCAACCAACTCCTGGAAATTCGCCCCGGCCAGGTTCATGCGCAGACGGGTGGAACATTCAGCTGCACTCCTTTGCGCACGCGCGCGTTGACGCTGAAGGCGGAGGACAACTCCCTGCAGTACGCGGTCCCTGGTGGCTTGATCGCGGTCGGCACCACGCTGGACCCGACCTTGACGCGCCAGGACAAGATGGTGGGGCACATGATCGCCGATGAGGGGTCGCTGCCGGACGTGTATGCGGAGATTGAGGTGCAGTACTTCCTCTTTGAAGAGATGGTGGGGCGCAGCAAGCAGCGCGACCGCAACGCAAAGCGCGTACAGAAGCTAAACCTGCAGGAGACGCTGCAGATCAACGTGGGCACGCTCACCGCAGGCGCGACCGTAGTAAACATCACGAAAAGCCCTGACATCGCGAAGCTGACTCTAGTTACCCCCGTCTGCTGCACGCTGGACGAGCACATTGCCATCTCGCGACTGGTGGAGAAGAACTTTCGACTCATTGGGTGGGGCATTATCAGGCGCGGCGCTCCGGTCAAGTTAAACTGAATAGACTGACGAGAAAAACGGCTCACCACCAACCCACGCGCGCAGAGAGAGAGAGAGAAAAACGCGCTCGCATGGACTCGCACGCACGCAATTCCAGGGGCGGCATGCGGCCGATAAAGCAAGCCAAGGAAACGCCGTCCAATTAGGAGGCGCGCAGCGCGAAGCAGTGGGGGGCAAAAGGGGGAGGTTACTTGGTGAGGGGGGCAAGCGTCGTGCCTGCATGGTTTTCTTTGTTGGTCGTTTTCTTTTTGTTTCTTTTTTACCGCCGCGGAGCGTGGCGGCGACGTGACTACTATTAACACAGGATAAGCATATATTACATCTAACAAGGCCGGCGAAGGTGGTGCGAGGGCGCCCGGCGCACATGACGAGGGACGCGAGGGAGGAGCTGAGGGCGTTCCTCGTGTGCGTGTGTGCCGGGTGCCTCTTGGGTGGGTGCAGGATGATGCGTTTGGAGGAGTAAAAGCCATTTTGGGGGCGAGCTGGAGCGGCGGTGGCAGCAGGAATTAATGAACGGGAGACGCCACACGCGCGGAGAAGCGAAGGAAAACAGGAATGGAGGGGGTGGGATGGAACAAAGTCGCAACTGTGGAGAATGTGGGGGGAAGGCACTCTCTCTCTCTTCCCTTTCTCTTTTCCTTTTTTTTTAATTATTGTTATCTTGGTGCTCCACCAGACGGTCGCTCTTTAGCTCCTCCCAACGCACTCACCCACTTCCTCTTTGCCTCGAGGAAGCAAAGCACGACGGTGGACGGCGTGCGTCGTGAAGATCACACACCGGCTGGCGGGTCTTCGAGGCGTGGCGCTGTGAAACGAAGCATAAAACCAAAAAAAAAAAACAGTGATGAGAAGAAG